AGTAGTAGCAGTGCTGCTGCTGCTGCTGCTGCTACTACTACTACTACTACTACTGTTGCAATTGTTGCTATTGCTGCTATTGTTGCTATATGTTGCTATGTTTTCTTATTGTTTTTATTGATGCTGTTACTGTTGCCACTATGACGGAAGATCCCTCCCACACACTAACAGTCAGAGATGGGGAATAGATTGGTTGGATGTTGTACTTACGACGACAATGTGTGTTGACTGCTACTTGGAGGTCCATGAGACTTAGCAATTACGTATAACTGGGATTATAACCCTACCAGGAATGGAGTAACCCTTCTACGTTCATTTACGGGGATTCGAGCCGGGCTATAAGCCCAGTTATAAGTAGTTAATAAGTCCCATGGGCCTCCACGTAGGGGGGCGGGAAGAGCCCAAGGTTTAGGTTCAAGTGAAGATCCAGTTGGCAATAAGTAAAATTAATTTCAGCTTGAATGGCGAGAAGTGCGTAGCATAGCCGTCGGGGGGGGGGGGTTGCTGATAGGATTTAAGGTTCTATGATATGCTGATATGCGGGCTTGAGGTCCAGGGTAAACAGGATTCGGGGTAGGTGTGGACTGCTTTTACTAGAAAAAAGATTCTCTCCAAACAATCAAACTGGGGTGAATGCTTGGGTTTAGTCTGATATCCTATTTATACTAGGCCCACCCTGACAAAATTTGATAAGTTCTTCCCTTAAATCATACACGCTTGACCCCACACCCTCAACCGTAACCCCTTTTCTGATAATTTTCGGCCTTACCTCACCTTACGACCTTAGTATCCGAGGAAGTGTGTAGGGGCTCGCGCTTTGGGGCTCAAATAGTTTGAGGTCCAGGCATCCTAGCGAGGTGTCAGCGTATGTTAAGGAACTAAATCGAGGAAACATATTAATTACAATATATACCCATTATGGTAATTTAGTTGAAGTTCCTGAACAGCAACCCAGGAGGGGTGCCATACATGTCTGCATAATTTTCAGGTTGGAACCACGGGTCCAAGTATGGGCTTTAGTCATGGGGTCCTTGCATATCTCGTAGAACCCTAGAAGCCAAGAAGGGGCCGTACTCAGGACCCAGGAAACAGGTAGGGGCACTTACAGGAGCACATGGTTAGGACCCTTTGAAAAATTGGGTAGATTAGGTGTGCTATAGGTGCATGTTGGGAAAGTCTATGGGGCTTGGATTCATTTTGTAGTCAGCGTCGCGGGTTACGCCACGTTCATCATGCCGGTAAACAGCATAGCAAAACCGTCCAAAGCATGTTGCTGCCAGGACATGCACCTAGAAAACGCTCCATACTACAACTTCCTGCAGAAACACAAAAATACCCGACTGTTGGCAACAGGTTGCTGCTGTTGGTCTACCGTAAGAAACCTGTTAAATTGAACTTGCGAAGCCTTTTTTTCACATCAGAACTTTTTGTGCCGATTATCAGCTTGCTTCTTTTCTGGCGCATTCTTCAAATACAGGCTCTGCCAGGATTTTCAGCATTCGGACATTTTGCAATCTCTTTCTATTCCAAGAATTTCCGCGTGCCAGGTCTCTGCATTGCAAACTGTTTAGGCCCCTACAACAACTCCATACATCAGAATTGCAAAGCCTGTAGGACTCTTCGATACCCCTTGAAGGCGAGCTCCAGCAGACTTCTTAGTTTCTGTATACCCAAAGCCGAAGGTGCAGCTGGGTAAGTGCCGAACGCGCCTGGCTCTCCCTGCCGTGGGCACGAATGAGTTGGGGAGGCCGGGAGGATGCAGAGGTTTTGGGTTTTGGGTTTGGGGCTTAGGGCTTGGGGTTTTGGGTTTTGGGTTTTGGGTTTGGGGTTTAGGGTTTGGGGTTTAGGGTTTTGGATTTAGGGTTTGGGGTTTCGGGTTTGGGGTCCTTCAAAAGGGGCTCCAGTGGCTTCAAGGGGTTTAAAGGGTTTATAGCATACGAGCTACATGAGGGGTTGCGGAAAATTTGGGGTACCATTTTGGTACCGTTTTGGGGGTCCCAATAATAAGGATCATTGTAATGTTTTGGTGTCATAGTATTTTGAGGTCTAAACTTTGTTCCGGGCTATATGAGTGTTTAGGGGGTATCGTGGAGAATCATGTATAACAAATGAAGGACTGACTTGGAACTTGGGTTTTGTGCGGGGATTCGGGGTTTGGGGCTTCGGAGCTACATGAGATTTGGGAGTTTAGAGTTTACGATTCAAGGCAGTGCTCATTCTCCTGTCTTGGAGGGACATGAGAATGGTGTAGGTTTTACAGTTCAGGGTTTACGGTTTCGGGTTGGGACCACGATTTCGAGAAATGTCCCCATGGGAGTTGGTGAGCGTTGTCCGTAGATGGGAGCTTCTCCAAATGCAGATGCTTCCCACATGGAGCGCGTCGAAATAGCGATAATCTGCGAGACCCCGTAAGGTAAAAGGGTTCTAATGGGAACCCCAAGAATATAGCAGGAATATAATAGAATATGAGGGCCCTGGTAGGTATATTTCCATTACATTCCTACTATATCCTTGGGGTTCCATGTCTGGGGTTCCCAGTAAAGTCCCTTTAAAAGGGGCTTTTCGGGACGCGTAGAGCTCGGGATATAGTAGTGCCTCCCCATCAAGGCTTGAGGGGGACTATTTTCAGAGACGCCTATAGAATCCCGGTTGGGATCCTTGCAGATAGCTTTTGGGATTATAGACCTAGACCTAAAGCCTCTACAATCACAAATGAGCCTATAAATCCCCAAATAATCCCTTCAGGTGTACAGTAGGACCAATAAAGACCCTATAACCCCCATATAATCCCTACACATTATAGTAGTTTCCATTTTAGTTTCCTTAAACGTGGGGTTTAGGGACTTCAGCTCGGCTTCATGACATGCAGCGGGAATTCTATAAGGGCTTAGACGGCTGATTTTTTAAGTGAGAACCAAAATGGGAAAGGAACACGGAAACTGAAGTGGAACCTAGGACTACATATCGGTCGATGGAGGTTACTTAATGTGGGGGGCGTGAAGTATTATCGATAGTCTGATCCTTGTATAGTTATGCATGGTATAGGGTACGTCATGTACACTTCAAAATGATATTAATATAGTCCCCCTTAAGTAGATAGACCATGGCTTTGGGTATATCAGCATAAGGTCCCCATGTACCCCATATTCTATCTGCCTAGGGGCACTATAACCCTAAACCCTAAATCCTTAACCCTAAATCCTAAACCCTATATTCTGCACAAAAATATTACTTGTATCCCCTTTTCAGGCTTTACATTACTCGACCCCTTGCCAACTAAGCCACCTCGAAGCCGGCAGAGACCATCTTCGATCTAGGCATGTGTGTAGAAGTTGCTGGAAACTAATATATCATCTAGGGTTTAGGGATTAGGGTTTAGGGTTGGAGGGTCATGGGGACTTAGTAGGTTAATACTAGGGATAACTTGGGTTATTCTATGGCTTTTAGGGGTTATTTTCCTATTTACTAAGTCCCCATGACCCTCCAAGTAAACCTTAAACCCTACCGTAAGCCCTAAACCCTATGTAAAGCGCAACTGCCATCCTTAGATCTTAGGCCTCAAATGCGCCAACTTAATCCCTGCATCTCAAACTCCACAGCCCAAGTCCAAATGCCTCAGCCCCATGCCTGACTGGGTTGCTGTTAAGGAACTTAAATTAAGTGACCATAATGGGTATATATATATATAGTAAACAATAGGGTTTCCTCAATATAGTAACTCGAATTAAGTTCCTTAACAGCAACCCAGCTGAAGGTCCATGAGACTTAGTAGCTACTATCAGGTAGGGTTATGAGCCCAGTTCTGATCAGTTACTAAGTCCTGTGGACCTCTAACTAACCCTAAGCCCTAAACCCCAAATCCCAAACCCTATGAAGCGTAGCCGCACGCCTGAGAACTGTCAGACCTCCAGCACTATTCTTTAAACTTGAAACTCCAGACCCAAGGTGGGATGAATGTAGGTGGGCTAAAGGATCCCTATTGTAGACTCTACTATGTTGGAGTTTAAAGGGTTTAGGATATTTCCTGTACACCACTATCCTTTACCTCATACCTTCCTTTACCTCACCCTTTGTGCCCTCTGAGAAATGCTTTTGCCCTGGGAGAGGTTGCTGGTCTCCTGTGCAGAGGTCCTGGCGGGCGAAGAAAGCACTACGGAGGCGGAAAAGTGTATGTCGGAAAGCCCACTAATCCCCTAAGACTAATCTTAACACCTCCCCAACCCTAATTATAGATATTCCCCATAAGAGGCCCTTTATACTGGTATACTTTTTTGATGTTGGTGGTGGGGGGTGATGTTCGATATTAGTATGAAGGGATTAAGGCCTCTCAGCCCCTACACCCTTGAAGCCCAAAACTCTAAAGCCACTAAAGCCTCTTCCCCAGCCTCAAAATCCTTCAGCTCATGCAGCCACAAAGCCCCTAAGGTCCGGGCCTAAACCCTAACCCCCCAAAAAACTTACTTGGGCAACCAAACAAACATACGTTGAGAATATTTGCTCTCCGAAGAACCTCTTTCCAGTTCAGGGTTTAAGGCTTAGGGTTTAGATTTCTTCTGTGGTTGCCTGGCTCCGAAACCCTAGACCTTAAGCCAAAGACCCTTTCAAAACTAAAAACCCTAAACCCTACACATGCCAAACAGCAAGCCCGAAAACCCCAAACCTCTACACCCAAGCCCTAAACCCCCACACACCTCAAACGCCCAAAAAACCTTAAACCCTGAGCCACACAACCCAAGCCATGAATCCTCAACCTTCTAAACCCTGAAACCCGCGACCCTAAGCCACAAACCCTAATTCCTTAGCCCCTAGATTCTTTAGCCCTGAACCCTTAAACCCTGAACCCTTAAGCCCTAAACCTCTCCCCCTGAGCCCTTAATCCCTAAACGCTTCAAGCCCTAACCTTAGATCTTAAACCCTAAGCTAAAATATCTATGTATAAAGTAAACAGATGCATAAGCATATACATATATATGTATATGTGATAAATCTGAATATTAATACAAACACAAACAGAGATAAATGTATAGAAAAATGAATACAATAAACAAATCAGTATGTATGTATATACATATACACATATATGTATCGATTTATCCACCCAGGGCCCTGAAGCTCAGGCCGCCTTGGCACGCGGCCGGGCGGGTTGGCTGCTCGACCGGTTGATGCCGCTGCTGGCCCGGGCGGACAACGCAGCACAGGCTTGCAGGGTGGGTTTAGGGCTTAGGGGTCATGCTTCGCTTGCATCTGGGACTGGAAGGGGCAACCATGTTGGGGGAAGGCACAAGGGAGAGATGACTTCCATGGATTCCATGAAGGCCTGCATCCCAAGCCCTGCTATCCGTAAACTCAATGCTTTGAACTCTTAGCTTGCACGTATGCTGTCCTAAGATGATCACCCTAGGTGCCTTTGATTTCACGGAAGGGCACCTCCGCAATCACGTCCCATTCCCCATATATCCTGACATGCCACCAGCAAAGACCCACCGTCTTGAGACATCCGCATCTTGGCAACTTCTGCAAGGCCCGAGACGTTGAGATCCTCAATCTTCTTAGAGCCCATGAGTCTGATGCTGGAATAGAGTTCCATCATTAAGTACGTGGTCCTTTTTGGCATATGGCTGTCAAAAAGCTTGCTGCGGCTTGTGTCTTGAGATCCTCCCCTGACAGATCACTGTGTGCCGCGTCCTTACTATGAAGCTTTCTGGTACAGTATTCGGCTGGGAAAGAGCTTGCACGTCGGCTAAGCCTTTCCAGCCGGTTGTCCCCTGAGTGTCACTAGCACGAAGCGATGATGTACGTGCACCTGGATCCCCAAACGAATTTGACACACCTGTTCCGCCACCTCTGCCTCACAGACCCCGCGACATGCAAGCTTACTCTTCAAGATGCCCTAGCTTCTGACGTGATGTCTGCACAGCATCATCCGTATTTATTTCATCAGGTGGCCCCCCTGGTCGCCCAGCAGCTGGGACAGGGCCTCTCCAAGCAAGCGGCGCGGAGCTTTCAGCGTCTGCTGAGAAGGCTCTTGGGTTTCTCCCTAGTACTTACTTTGGAATTCAGGTAAAGGACTATAGGGATGATTGTAGGGGATTATGCAGGGACTACTGTAGGGTTCCCTTCCTCCATTCCCTACTAGGCACTTCCAGTGTAGAAGTGTGAAGAACTGTCATTGCCATCCTTTCAGAGGCAGTCAGTAAGCATGCTACTGCACCAGCCATTTTGCGCCAGAACTGGAAGAGCAAACCCTGACCCTGAACCCCACGTGCCAGCTCAAGCATTAGGATCTTTGAGATGAAAACTGCGGGGAAGGCAGCCTAAACCCGGAGCGCCTAGCCCCAAATCCTAAGCTTTGACCCTAAATCCTTCGTCCCGCGGCCTGAGTCCTAAACCCGACATCTTAACCTAAGTCCTAAGCCCTACATCTTAAGCCTGGACCCTAAATCCTCAGCCCCAATAGCTCACCCAGCACACGAGGCTGAGTCCACAAGAAGCCCAAGAAGTTCTGCGAACAGCTCTCCAAAGCCACCTGAAGGCAGGGTCCGCAACATTGGACCTACAGGTTTACTGTAGGGGTTCCGGTTTTTATCCCAGGGCTTAGTATATCATGCTTGCTTTGGGTTTGGAGGCCTATGAGTATCACCGTTCTTCGGCTATTCTGAAATTTCATGGGCCCACGGTTTGCGGTTTAGTTTGTAGCGAGCTGGAACGTCAGTTTCAGCTATGGCAACTCATATGTTGGGTTACCAAGCCTGATCCTGATTCTGAAGTCTATCCATACAAAACGACAGGGTATAGAGTCTAGCGGCTTTTGCTTTAAGACTCCAAAGGGACCTTACGATGATTGACCACAAGGCCAAGAATGTATGGTACGGCCAGGTGTGGTGAATGATAACCCTCCCCCAAAACAACGTGGAACCTGAATATGGCTCCTTCGCAGACTGCGGTCTTTCAAAGGGTTAGGGGAGGTTCCATGTTTGTTTGGGAAACGTATCATAGGAGCTGTCACCAAGGCCCTCCAGCCAGCGTTGCATGACTACTCAAGTTATGCTTACATTCTGCATGGCCAGCCGCGTGGGCTGAGCCCGGCCCAGGATCTTCTTCTCACAGCCTGAGAATTCTCGAATAGGGTTTAGGGTTTAGGGATATCCTCACCATTGCTGAAACGAGCATGGAACCCCAGAAAGACACCCCTTTGAAAGCACAGTAGTCTTCATGAGGCACTTTTTGGGGCTTCATGTTCGTTCAGGGCAGGGTAAGCCCTTAACAACCTAGAGCCCTCGAAACCATTAACCTAAACTTTAAACCTTACGCATGATGGCCATGCAAAGGGCTTACCCTAGAGCCACAGACAAGCTAGACCCAACGTATAGGTAGGTACTATGGTCCCTTAAAGGGTCTCCCCAAACCCTGGGCCTTGATGATAGCTATTTCTGTCACCCCGGCCCTAAACCCTAAACCCCGGAATTACAAGCTTCAAGCCGGAAACACGCATGAAGGTTGCAGAACGTGTGGCGCTTCTTCGAGACCTCAGCAGCTGGGACGCATCTGAGGGGTACAGCCGGTCAGTTTAGGGTTTGGGTTTAAAGGGTTTAGGGTTTGGCTTCAAAGGTGTAGAGCTATGTAGACGTTCATGGTTCAAAGCTTATGGAACTGTAGTCTCCTGAGGAATTATCTTCAGTTCTTATTGTAGTATAACCCTAGGGAATCGTTAGAATTTTTATTGTAGGCCAAGGAGGGTACAGGGAAAAGGGCTTACAGATCTTGAGGATTCTTGCGTCAGTATAGGCATCAACCGGAACTCCAAGAACAAGCGTTTCTTACTCAGCCCTTTCTGCGTTGCTTGTTAAGGATTTAAAGTTATTTTATTGGGGAAACACCTTTATTTATGATTTACCTATTATGGTAACTTAATCCAAGTACCTTGAAACCCACCCCGCTTAGGAAAGCTTACACTGTAAAGCCCGAAGTCCTTAAAGTACAACCCTTAATCTTAACTTTTTAACCGCAACCCCAAACTCAAAACAGTCAAGCCAGAATCCTAAACCCTTAATCTACAACCCTAAACCCTAAAACCCGAACAACCTCAAACGTTCAAACGACAATCCTAAAGCCCAAGCACCGTTTTGGTACTTTGGCTTGGGGATTTGGACTGTCGGGTTGGGGGATTCAGGTTTAGGATTTAGGGTATAGGTGCCCTCAACCGCTTACCCGGTGAAGGGGGATAGAAGGCTTTTATGGGGATTTCCTTGCAAGGATTCCTTCAGGATTTGCGGTTTTGGTGATTTCCTTAAGTTCAGTAGCATGGAAAAGAAAATGAAATCTATCATAATGGCGAATCAGATGGAACAGAAAAGAGAAAATGACATGGAAGCTAGGGTTACACGGTGCTTAAGTAGGGATTTCCTTAAATCCATTATAGTACAGGTCCGGGTTCCTATTATAATACGGGTCCCTCTTTTGGGAACAGTATTTGAGGCCAAATCCGGGGTTATATGGGAGTCATATCAGGCTATTTGGATTTAAGGCTTAGGGTTTAGGGTTCCTTTCCTACATGTTTGGGGGTGGAAGAAGTGGAAGCCTCAAACAAACAAGGTCACTGCCTATGCTCTCAGGGTCCTCATGCAACCGCCGCCCCACACCCTCCAGCTCCAAACACGGATCGAACAAGCATAAAAGTACTGTGATCAACCACTGTCCAAGCCCTGTACCTTCCAAACCTAAACCCGAAAATGCAATCAAACCCTAAACATTATAATCCCCTAAACGGAGTCCTCAATTTTCTTTTCCATTATCCGACTGGAATCTCATTATTCCCTGTCTTCATTTTCCCTGCTGACCAGCAGCAAGATACCCCGAGGTGACCTCAACCTCTTCGAGGAGGGTCCAAACGCCGCCGCTTTTGTGGCTCTGTTGGAGCCTTTGCGGAACGTTGGGGAAGGGGGGCTTTGGCAAGGTTGCTAGAGGTTTACAGTCTAGGTTGGGCTTGGGGAATGTAATCTTGCAATCCCAAAGCGTTAGATGGTAGTTTGATAGCTCACGATTCTGTTTTTCTGGTAGTACTGGTACCTAGAGCCGTAAGCATATAGAGGGTAATCGGTAAGGCAATGGCAGAAGGCAGCACGAACCGTTATTGCGTATATGTAACAACTAGTAGCACTGGTAGATAGAGTATTCCGGATAGCAACACGAACAGCTCAGCAACAGTAGTATTGCCGGCACGTTCAGCTTGCAAAGGAGGTCCCAAACCCTAAAGCTTAAACCCCGACAAGCTGGGCAACCCAGGCTTGCAATCCCACGGCTGAGGCCGTAATGTGTCCCTGAACCCGAAACCCTCATTATGACTGCAAACCCTAAACCGTAAAAAACCAACCATGGGGACTGCAGGAGCATGGGAATTATACGGGATGAGACTGGAGGGATCCATTCCATTTCTGCTAATCACCAGTAAAAAGGCCCGACATCCCAAAACCCTCACCCTGAGCCCTGAACCCTAAACCCTGACCCAAAGCCCTATAGCCCCCCTTAAGTAGATAGAATATGAGGTATACTGGGATCTTATGATGATATACCCAAAGCCATACTCTATCTACTTAAGGGGGACTATACAAGCTGAAGCCCCAAACCTGAAGCGACAGGAGTCGCTTTACGACAGCCATCGCGATGTGGGTGGGGCGGTGCTGGCCGCGCTCTGCAGGACAAAGAGTAGGGTTTAGGGTTTGGGGATAGAGGGGATAGGAATTTTGGTCTAGAGGATAGGGCCTAAACCCTAAACCCTAAGCCTTTGGGGTTTAGGAGGTTTTAGGGGGGGATTTAGGGTTTAGGAAAGATGTGGCATGTGATTTAGGATGATAGGGCCTGTTCCCAAAATGGTAGTTTCCCTAAATAAGGGGACCCCAACATAGACCCCAATATACGATAGTCCTTGCTATAGGGACCCCAAAAAGGTACCCCTAATTTTGGGAAACCCCCACCCTAAACCCTAAATCCTAAAACCCCCAAATCCCGAAATCGGTGTGGCAGGATGGGCAGCACCTCACTCCTGGAGCGCGTGTGCCAAGGTGGGCTTGGTACCTTCCAGACCGAAGGGCTCGGTTTTAGGGTTTTAGGGTTTGAGGGTTTTAGGGTTTGAGGATTTGAGGGTTTTGGGGTTTTGGGGTTTTAGGGTTTTAGGGTTTGAGGGTTTGAGGGTTTGAGGGTTTTAGGGTTTTAGGGTTTAGAGTTTGGGGTTTAGGGTTAAGGGCTCGAGGTTAACCTTACACCGTAAAATGTAAACCCTAAGCCTTCAGCCCTAAACCCCCAAACCCTAAGCCCTAACCTTAAATCCTAAGCCTTGAGCCCTAAACCCCCAGCCTAAGGTTGGGGTTTTGAAGGGAGGCATATGGGAGCTTCTCAACAAGGACCCTAGGGATGTACAGGGATTCTAAGGGGATCAGAGGGAAAAGTAACTGCCCTCGACATCCTTAATCCAAGAGAAAATCGTCTAAGAACATCACAGCCCTGCCCCCCTAGACCCACAACCCTGAAACTCCTAAAGCCCCGAGACCCACAAAACGACAAAGAACCATTGGTTCCGCTGAATAGCAACGGCATCCAACCAAGCCTTCTGTCTATGACCTGTCATCTACAAGCCCAAGGCCCTTGCGACACCCAGAGAACCTCTGGAACCATGAAACCTGTGAGTGCATTCCCAAACCCAAACAACCATTTTTCCAGACAGCCCAAAGCCCTGCGCTGCAAACCTTATCCTTAAAACCCAAATAAAACCCCAAGGCCCTCTTAAAACCCGAAAGCCTTGCACACCAAATTCGGCAGCCTCTAGACCCCTGAGGCCTGTAAGCCATGATTTACTTGAGTCGTAGTCTAAATGGGGATCGTACAGTCCCAAGATAGAGTAAAGCTTGTGTCTTCCCTTGGCCAAAGCCTTTTCTATAGTAAACTTCCAGAATATTACTGGGTTTAACCCCACCAAGCCTTAAACCCCTAAACCTTAAGCCCTAAACCTTAAACCCTAAACCTTAAACCCTAAACCCAAACCCTAAATCCTTAACCTTGAGCCGCAAACCAGTGCAACCGCTGGTAAATCCTGAGCCTGAAGCCCTGGTAAACCTCGAGCCCTTGTAAACCCAAAGCCCTAAACCCTAAGCCCTGTATATATATATATCTATACCGACCTAACCCGTATGTAACGTCTGTATCCCCTTAACACGTCCCCTAACCCTAAAGCTAAAATGGTAGTTTCCATTTCCCATTTTTGCAGGAGTTCTCCCTTACATCCCTATATTTTCCTCAAAAACCCTAAACCCTAAGCCCAAAGTAGTTCCCTCAATCCGAATCCCGCACCTGGCTGTAATTTAGGGGATGAGTCGCTCTACCAACTCCAGGTCGGTGTCTTGGTAGATAGGTGGACTTAGGGTTTGGGGTCTAGGGCGCCCCCGGATTTGATTTAGGGTTTGTGATTTTGGGTTTAGGATTTAGGGCTGACGATTCAGCATTTTCGGCTTTCGGATTTACGATGTAGGATTTGGGGGTGAGGGTTTAGGCTTGTGGGAGCTCGGAGTATGTTGGGGGGTCCACGGAGCAGGATTGTTGTAATGGTCCCTGGTGAGTGTATTCTGGCTTCTTGGGCGTATTGGTCAGAGTAGATTGGGTGTCCAAAGTCTGCCACTCCCTTGGCCTCTAAACTCTAAACCTTCAACCCTAAACTTTAAAACGTCAAGGCAGGTCCTTCTTTGAAAGGGGTATAGGATATTAGGGTCGAAGACTCATGTCGAATGGGGACATAAGGTTTAGGGTCTTGAGGGGTCTAGGTTGGTCTGGGAGGCCTGGATCAAGTTTGCCTGGGTACCCTAGGGATAGCAAGGGGTTACAAAACCCTAAAGCCTAAATCCTAAACCATTGTAGCTTAGGATGCCCAGGATTTAGGATGCTTAGCTGCAGGGCTTTGCAAGATGCATCTCACTGTCCACCTTTCAGGGGCTTTAACTTACGTACAAGGTTTGGGGGTGCAAGGCTTTGGCGTAGAAGGATTTTGGATTTCAGGGGCTTGGGGTTTTCGGGTTCAGAGTATGGGATTGATTGAGGTTTTCAGATACAAACGCTGCCCGAACTATAAACTCCACCACCCGTTGGGGGGGTGGATGAAGAGGGTATGCAGAATTATCTCGACAGTTACCCCTCATTACAAGCTTACGCCCTAAACTCTGAACACCGAATCCTACCCTGAGCCCCAAATAAGAACATTGCTGTGGGGGCGGGGGGCTCATTAGGAGAAAGCCCTGGACTCTAAAGCGCAAAATCCTGAAGCCGATAAACCGTCAAGTCTTATATTAGGGACGAAGTATCCCCCCCAATATGGGCCTCAAGATATTTAGGAGGATTATAGTAGGCGCCCGTTAGTTTGTGTGTACATATAGATACATGGACAGGGTATATACAGGAATCGAAGTAGGTATGTGTAAGGTCATATAAGGACCTCGAGCATAAGGGCCCGTACCACAGAGCCCTAAGCGCCAATCCCTAAGCCCTAGCCACAAACCCTGAGCCCTCAACCCTACACCCCAGACCCTAAACCCCAAACCCAAAACCCTAAACCCTTAGATCCTTAACCTTTGCAGGTCCTCCTTGGGCAGCTCCGGCAGTGCAAGTGGGGGCCGTGGGGGAACGAGGTCCTTGGGCGGCAGGAATTACATGAGTTATTGTCAACATTAAGGGTGTAGGAATTTTGTTTTAGGGATTTGGGTCGACGTAGGGTTTAGGGTTGAGTTATGGTCGCTGTGAGGGTTACCGGCAGGGAGCCTTAAGGGTGGACATAGGGGTCCCTTATATAGTTTAGTACCGTCCCGAATTCTTCTCTTATTGGATTCTGTAGGAAATATTTACTGTAGCTTATATAAGCGCCGGGAACTTTAAACCCTAAACCCCTAACCGCGGTTGTAGAAGGATATATAGGCTGTAGGACTTGGCCAAATTTTTTGGCCCCTGGTATGGAGAACCCCAAAAAGAGACCATACTTTTGACATGCACACAAAAAACGGTGATATGAGCTATAGTCTAAACTCCTGGCATCCCCCCCCTCAGTAGCCCCTACAACACTTCCCTGTATAATCCCCTATATACCCCTTCTTTGAGGTGTTTTTAGGTTATAGCTGATATGAGGACACGTAGGCTGTAGGGCCTAGGGATTCGGGTTTAGGGTTGAGGTCATTCCTCGGGCATCTTGGGCTCGGTATGTAGGGTTTTGTGGTATTAGGCCTGCTTAGGACAATTTGGTGCTAAGGATTCGGGCTGTGGAAGTTAGTGGCGTATGTGTTCGGGCTCAGAGTTCTGGACCTGAAAGTATAGTCCCCCTTAAGTAGATAGAATATGGCTTTGGGTATATCATAATAAGATCCCCATATACCCCATATTCTATCTACTTGAGGGGGACTATAGTGACTATAGGTTATAGTGGGCCTACTGCCAAGCCGAGCTTGGGAACTCGGTCGCTGCAATCGCTCATAATATAGGGGCCTGTGAAACTAGCAGGGTTTTGACGTATCTTGTGCTGGAAGTAGTCGCGCAGGCGAGGAGTGTTGGCAAATAGTTGTTGAAGGTTTTAGCTCAGTCCTGAGGGTCCGGATTTTTTAGCATCCTTTGGGGAATCCACTCCAACCACGTTTCAGTCATTTGTCAGAACCTTTCGGACAGCTTCGCGTAATTTGCTTTGCATTACCTTCACAACTTCTATTTCAGGGCTGGCACCGGAAACCCATAGATTTTTTGGTAGCCTCGGCCAGGGGCCTGACACCCTAATGGACTAGCTGCTCTACACCCCAAGCCCCGAACTCCGAGCCCCAAACCTTAAACGTTGAAACAAAGAAGCCTTAAACGCAGATAGTTACCTGCCCCTGCCCTGAGACTTGAAATCCTAAATCCTGAACGCTTAACCCTTAACCCTGTAGTAGTTTCTTCCATTTTCTTTTCCATTATTACTAAGTCCTAGACACCGCCCACACTCGACTGCTTCAGCCTGCGGATGATCAGCAGGGATTACGTATCCCCACATTTGTCCGAAAGGAAACCATGCTAAACCCGACATGGTAAGCTTTGAAACGCTAGAATTCCAAGCTCTGAGCCCTAAACCCCCATATTCCCCTACAACCCGCATACCAAATATGAACTGTTTTCTTTACTTAACCCTAAACCCGAAACCCTTGGGCCTGTTGGACGAGGTTGCCAACATCGTGGCAACCACGCTTAGTAGGAAGCCCGGGCTAGAGGAGTTGCCCCTTGGTCCAGCTTTGGGGGCTTAGGGTTTAGAGGTTTAGGGTTTAGGGTTTGCG